CCCCCCCCCCCCAAAGCAAAAACACCAAGCACTGCTCTAGACTCTTTGCGTTGTTAAATAGAATGGTAAGAAGAATCAAACTGATCTCGGTAGAAATGGAAACGCTATAAAAGTGCTATGTTTCTCCTTATTGAATGCCCTGTCCTCACTAAGACAAGTGCATGATTAGAGAATGTTCTCGAATGGTAAGCTTCTTCTGTTTCTTTCTTTCCAGTCAATGTCATTTATTTATTCTACTGCATCAATGTAAAAATGGTAAAGCAGTATATGCGCCATCTTTGTCTTGTTGAATGCATCATCACTAAGATATAGATCTAGATCTTTTTTTTTTCGTAAGTGTTTTACGGCGCTTGCCACTGCATAAGGTCATATTGTGAGCGCGCTGGACACATTAAACTCTTTCTGTTGTTAGGATATTTTGAATTTTGCCAGGGTGGTGGCCGAAGCCTACTCTTGTCGATTTTAGACCACCAAGAGATCTTTAATGTGCGGAACTTGCACACGGGCTCTCCAAGAATTTTTGCCCTTGTCCGAGAAGGCTAGGTCTAGATCTTTCCTACCAGAAGACCAGGGGTGTGGCTGAAAGACAGCAGTAAGAAGGAGCCAATGAGTAGCAGTAGAAAGGCTGCAGAAAGAGTCAGGAGCCCAGAGGAGGGGGGCAAAGGAGGTGAAGGGGTGGGGGGAAAAAGAGGAGACGAAAGCAGACGACAGAACATTGCTAGAGAGCAGGAAAGGAGGTGAAAGGAGACAATTTTAGAGAAGAAAATTTTAATTTTTCGGTTGGTACTCGGATTCGAATCCGGGGCCTTTGAAGGAGAGGCCAAGACCTTACCTCCAGGCCAAGAGAGCCCCCTCACTAAGATATTATTTTCACGCATATAGAGTGTACCTTGAGAGTCAGGTCCTTCTACTTTTTTTCGTTTTGGTCTATAAAATATTATTTCATTGCAGGACTGCAAAAGTGGAAAACAGCAAACGTCGTGGTTTTTGTCTTGTTGAATGCATCCTTACTAAAGTATGAGTATGATAGAAGAGTTTTCTTGTAAAGTCGGCTTCTTTTATGTCTTTCTTTTAAATCGGTACACATGTCTTCTTTTATTGCAAGATGCAAAGGTGCTAAAGCAAAAAACCCCGCCATTTTTGTCTTATTACATTCGTATTTCGTTGAAGCCAATGTTATCTTCTTTATGATACAATTTATGATTGGTCGCTTTTAAGGACAAACGGGCTAACCCAGATTTCGGGAGTTTCCAGAAATCTTGACCTACACCAAAAGTGGGCATTGCCCCACTACCTATATGAAAAGTTTGGTTTTATTGGTGTGTATATTTGTTTGGTTATAGAGAAAACTTTTCTTATCTTTTAAAGAAACTGAACAAGGGGCAAAAACTTTACCTTCGATTTTCTCAAAACAGCAATTTTTCGTGATAGCCCGCTTGTGCTTAAAAGCGACCAATTGCATTAATGTTACGTCGCTGACGGCCGTTTAGGAGCTACAACAACTCTGATAATGTCTGGCAAAATGGCAACACATGTGGCTAGTTTCTGAACTGTCTGATTGGGAACACATTATATTCCAGCTTATCTACTCTTCTTGTGTGTGAAATTACGTATGTGTGTGCGTGTGTGTGTTTGTGTGTGTGTGCGTGTATGTGTGTGTGTGTGTGTGTGTGTGTGTGCGTGTATGTGTGTGTGTGTGTGTGTGTGTGTGTGTATGTGTGTGTGTGTGTGTGCGTGTATGTGTGTGTGTATGTGTGTGAAAGAGAGAGAGAGAAAACGAGAGAGAGAGTATGTGTGTGTGTGTTTGTGTGTGTGTGTGTGTGTGTGTGTGTGTGTGTGTGTGTGTGTGTGTGTGT